TGCACACATGTGCATGCTCACGGGCTTCCCTGGGCTGGGACGAGGCTCTTCACGGCCAAGGGCCATTTGCGCCATTTGTGTGGCTATGAGGATGGACCCTTGTGGGAAAACCAGGGCTTGGGCTTGGGCGTGTGCGGGGCCCACAGGCTGCTCTGCCTGAGGGTGACCAGCGCCAGGCCGCCAGCCGCGGGCTCCTGCAGACACTGCTGGACACCGTGCATTCTGGTGGCCCCTGCTAGCCGGCCTTCAGCAATGCTTCTCCCCAGGGCTCCCCTAAGTGACTGGCGTGGTCAGGCCACAATCAAGCACGTGATGCGAACAAGAGCACGTGCGCACGGGTCTCTAAGATCCAGAGTCCAGATCTGGTGTCTGGACGTCTCAGAAGGGGCTGTGAGCCTGGTCCAGGAGCTGGAGGGGCAGGACACCTGAGCTCTCGGCCACAGCTGCTCGTCCCCGCGGCGTTTCTGCCAATACAGAGGGTGAAACCCCAAAAGGCTCCTCCTTTGTTAACGGGAGAGGCTGCAGCACCTCGCTGGGCCGCTGGGCGGTGGGTCACTTGCTTCCTCTGCGGTGTTGCCACGGCAATGGCTGGGTGTCCTCACAAACAGGGACCCCCAGGAAAGAAGCAAGGCCGTAAGCTGTAGGACTGTACTTCCTGCGCCGGCCCCCACCTTCCCACTCTTGCCTCATCTCCAGGGTCCATCTGAGGATCTGGTGGTCACAGGGGCATCAGGAGGTTCCTCAGAGTTGTTGGGGTCTGTGGCCAAGGCACACTGTACCCCCATTGTCTTAGCTCTTTCCCCATAAACTGGAGAGAAACAAGACATGCTGGTCCGAACACTTCCTCCCCTCCACAAGTAACAGCTCAGCCAGCGTTCCTGCGAGAGCCAGACCTGGGACAAGGGAAAAGGGTCCCCAGGCCTCACAGCTGGATAAGAGCCCCCATCCCTGCCGGATTTCACAGCAAGCACCCTAACTCAGAACCCAGGGCCTCCTGACAGGTCTGGGCTGGGTAGGGGACAGAAGGTGGCCAGGCCCATCTACCCACAAATGGACAGCAGTAGGCATTCCCAGAAGCCTCCGTGTGAGCTCCAGCCCAGCCCTTCCGCAAGTGAACAGAGGAAGGGGGTGCCTCTCATACAGGGCATGCAGGGCAGTGGGGAGGAGGAGGCCTGGCCAGGGAAGGTCAGAACCAATTCAAGACTGGGCCATGAGGGCAGAGAGCGGCTGGAGTGCAGGACAAGGGCCAGGACATTCCTACTCAAACACCCAATCATGCCCACTGTGCAAAAGCTAGTCACATCTCTGAAAAACGCACTCAAGTCAGGGAACTCTGGACTCACAAGGGGACACCCCACCTGCAGGAGACGGGCCTTTGCTTCCTGAAGGGCTGTGCCCTTCTATTGCCTCAACCTTTCCTTCCTGACGGTCCAGCAGCCTGACCAGGTGCCCCCTTGAGGAGGCTCTGCAGACCCCAGTCCCAAGTGAGACCTGGACTCTGTCCCACAGACAGCATCACCGGGAGACAGTATCTTCCAGCAAGGAGGACATTCAGGTTGGCAAAGCCAGATCCCCACCCACTGGCCATGCCCGCCACAGCGCTGCCCCCGCCCAGGTTGGGCGCATCAGCCACAGCCAGTGACCACCCAGGTCCTCGGACCACAGCGGCCACAGTGGCTGCGGGAATGCAGAGGGCAGCAGGGGTCGTAGGGGAACAGGGGTGAGGGGTGACAGACGTCACCATTTTCCAACAAACTGTAAAGTTTGAAAATACAATCTCCTATTCACAATAACAAAGACAGATAACATGCACAACAGCTTAAAATGTAGTAACTATAAAACAATAGATAATAAACATAACAGGATGCAAAGGATTAATATGAAAATATAACATTTGAATAAAAAAGTATTAGATCCCTAGTTGGGTAAGTTATCAACTTTCCCTTAATCTTTAAATGTAATTCCTACCCGCATTTCATGAGTTTATTTTGATCTTGACAGCACTTATTTAATAAGTTCAAATGGAAAAATAAATATGAGGACAGCCGGCATCTTGGAAGAGCATGGGGGTGCTGGAGGGCAGGAAGCGAGTACAGCTGGACCCGGCAGCCCAGGGGCGGTGGGCTTGCAGAATCAGTGTTAAATTCCAGGTGGGTAAAGGATTCTTCTCCAAAACAGTGTTTCCTCTGTTCTGGCTGTAAACGCAGTAGTTAGTGATACCGGTCGCACAAGCGCACTGAGAGCTGAGGCCGGTGGGAGGGGGCGGCTGGGGACCTGGAGGGGGCAGGGAGGGGACGGGGACAGGGAAGGGCGGCCAGGGACTGAGAGGGGGCAGCTCGGGACACGGAGGGGGCAGAGAGGGGGAGGGAGGGGACGGTCGGGGGCGCACCCCGCAAGCTCCCCCCGGGGAAGGCGGTGTGTCCGCCCTCGCCTCTCACCGCGCCCGCAGCCGCAAAGAGCAGCTGGAGAAGCAGGGCCGCCCCTTGCCCGGGGGCCCAGAGCCCCGCAGGAGGAGCAGAGAAGGGCGCTCACCCAGCCGCCCCGCAGAGGGGCACGGACCCGAGGCCCCGGCCCCCGGGGTCGGCGTGACTGCTCAAGGCGCCGCAGACCCCCGACCCTGGAGGCACCGAGTCGGCCGGCGCCGCGTTCGCAGCCGCCATGGGCGCCGCCCTCCCCGCCGGCCGCTGGTCCTGGTCACATGACCCACCAGGACCAATCAGAGTGCAGCACCCCGCGTGGTTGGTGCGGGGCAGGAGCACGTGGTCGCACCCAGCCAATCAGAGGGCAGCGTGCGGGTCCGAAGCCCGCCCCGGCTGGTGAGAGAGGCCCGGCGGAATCCCGGGGCAGCGCCCCCGCCCCAGCCCTTCCCCTCGCGGGGATGGGAGATGTTTGCTCACATCCGCCTGTCACCCTCTGCGACTCACTTGGATCAAGTGTTACTAGCGACCCGAGGCCCCAGGTACCAGCATACAGCTCCTGCCAAGGACTGTCACGCTCGTCACCGCGGAGGCGTCCACCTGCCCCACCCGCTCACCTGTCCCCACCCGCTCACCTCCTGTCCGCACCCGCTCACCTCCTGTCCCCACCCGCTCACCTCCTGTCCGCACCCGCTCACCTGTTGCCCCCACTCGCTTCCTTTCTGCCCCGCTTCGCTGTCCCGTCCTAGTGACTCCGGTTGTTTGCCTCCGGCTTCTTTGTCCCCACCTAGTGAAGCCGGCTGCTGGACTCAGGCGCCTTGGGAACAACACCTCCCACCCCCAGCCCCCAGCGCAGTCATGGGGAGCTGGGAGGGGCCTCCTGCACTGAGGACCCCCCCTCCCCCGCAGGCTCCTGGCCTGGTCAGAAGACCCGGGGACAAGGCCCCTCCACCGGTGAGCCAGTGGGGACTGTGTTCTCAGCACTCAGACGGTGGGCTTTCACCACCAGCTTCCACTCCGCCTTGGAGAACAAAGCCATCCACCCTGGGATGGGTTTCTGAGGAATCCTGGCAGAGTTTCCGTTTTCTAAGACAAGGGAGTCTGGAGACGGAAGGAGGTAGAGGTTGCCCAGAAATGCCCCGAGCTGCACTCTTACAGATGATTACAACCGTATGTGTAATTTTATCACAGTAAATAAAAAAAAAAACCTGGAAAAAAACAAAACCAATAAGCAGTCTTTGTACCCAAGGACCAGAAACAGCAGGCTTGTGAATGGGTGTTAGTGAGCTATTGTCCTGAAGGATGGAGCGGCCTCATGGTAAACAGCCATTGCTGGGAAGAGACCGGTCCTGTCAGACACACCAAACACTTTGCCTCCATTCATGAGGTGGGGGCATCAGTGAACTCGGGACGTTTACATCCACCTGACCTGGTCATCCTTATAAAGCCCAGCTTCACCGTGCTGCCGGGCATGGCCGAGCCTGTGCACACACACATCTCAAATAAGGCCACAAACAGGCATTTACGGGTTCGGCCACACAGGCTTGGAGCTGGCTTTCTGCGGTCATGGCGAGCTTCCAAATCCTCCTTCCTTCTCCTCGTGGGGTCACTGCCCTAGCCGCCGAGAGCAGCTAGAAGGAGCAGAGCCCAGGTCTGGACAGGCCCTGGGCTTCTCCACATTCCAGAAACCCATCCAGCACAGGGCGCCCGCAACTGCAGCCCAGAGACCCTGCAGGCCTAATTGGGCGGCCTCATTAGGGAGCCGTGACAAGGCAGCTTGCATCTGAGGATAAAATCTCAGCAGGACTCCACTGTCACCCCACCACTCTGCAGAGCTCCGTTTCCGGGCCCTGTGGCCAGCTGGCTTTTTAAAGCTAAGACCTGGTCTGAGGAGCCAGAGTCCTGGGGTTCTGCGGACACTGCGGCAGGGGGTGTATGCTGTCCCATAGTGCAGGAGGAGCATGAGGGGGATGATGAGGACGGGAGGACGCAGGGGACAGTGAGGGGGCTGCCCCAGGCCAGCCCCCAACACGGCTCCTCCTCCATGTCTCCCCATACAGGCCACTCCTCCCGAAACCTGTGCAGGGCTGGTGTCCTCCAAGGCCTGACCCTAACCCTAAGCCCCACCCTCTCCCCCTCGACCTTCCCCACGCCCTCTGTGACCCTAGCAGACAAAATTTACATTCCGTTGGGAGAAGCAGGGAGGGCAGAGGGCAGTCCAACCAGCAGATCTTAAAAATACTCTCCTTAACAAAAGCGTTTGAATGAGTTCCTGCGAAGGAGCTAATTAGCTCTGGTTTATAATTTCCCCAGGCCTGGGGGAACCCAAGGCACAGCGTCCAGACAGCTGTTGGAGAGGGGGGCGAAGGCCTCATCTGCCAAGACTCCTCTGCTCAAAAGACATTCTCCATTCCAAAGTGATCTATCTACAACAGACCCGTCATGGCCGAGTCCCGAGAGCTAATTTTAACCTTCCGAGTGCTCGTTAAGCCTCTTTGAGTTATAATTACCCCCAATCTCGAGACATTACAAGGCAGCAATCAGGAAGTTAGATGTGGACAAGAGAGAACAAAAGGAGCAGGGAGACAGTTTCGAGCAGGCCTACTTAGAGGCCCGAGCGGCGTGGCTGCCCCGGGATGAGGATGCACACTCAGCTGCACGCTCGCCCCTGCCACCTGCACCCCTGCGGGAGCAGCCTGGCCCGGGGGTCACGAGGGTCATGAGGGTCACGAGGGTCACAGAGGCTCCTGGACACTGATTATCTACTGGCACCCCCCCACCCCCGCAGGGGCTTCTAAGACACTTCCTTTGCGGCCTTGAGTGGGTTCCAGTCTCTAAGGAAAGCGGCTCCACCGCAGGGCGGGCTTCAGTGTCTCGAGGGAGGGGGTGTCAGGGTCTTGGTCCCACAAAGCCCAGCAACTGCGCCATCTGCACCCTCAGCTCCCACCGACAGACACAGGTGGGGCTGGCCTCCCCAGAGCCGGTGGGCCGCGGGAACGGTCCTGCCACGGCCTCCTTGCTGGCTCCTCCTTACCTTGCCGAAGCTGCCCTTTCCGATGGCCCGAAGGATCTGAAAGTGGTCGAAGTTCACTGCAGAAAAAACAGAGAGATGCCCGGTGAGGCGGCAGAAAGACCCAGTACCGTCCACCAGCCCCAGCTGGAGCAACCACCCAGGGGCCGCCCCCCACCACTGCAGGGAGCCCCCCTGCACCCTGGAAGTGGGTCCTGGTGCTGGCTGGAGGCTCAACTCAGGCTCGTGTGTAATGCGGGGACGGCCTGAGCCAAGGCAGAGAGGTGGGTCCTGGGGGCCATGCTGTCCCTCTTCTGGGCTCCTTGCAAGGCCAGGCCAGGCCATGCTGCCCACAGACTGCATACCGGATGGGGCGTGAACAGAGCAAATAGCAGCCCTCTTCAGTCCCAGGTACCCAGACACCCCCATCCTGAGCTACCCCCAATGCATGAAGCCCTACAAATAGGGGTCCTGGAGCATGGGAAACAGGCCCCCTGCCCTCCTGCTGAATCTCCTGTAGGGTTCACAGGATGAGCTACAGGGGAGCCTACTGCGGCCCCAGGATGAATAATAGGGACTTTCCAAAGGGAGGTCCCCAGGCCTGTGTGAAACCACCTGGATCCCGATTTCTATTAACTTCCTCCAGACATAAGCTCCCCTTAGAGAAAGGGGTCGTTGGAAATTGCAACTTTATTGTCACGGCGCTCAAGAAAGATGCTCCCCGCCACGCACACAGGCCACGCACACACGCCACGCACACATGCCATGCACACGCAGTGCCCGGCGGGGGGGGACGTGATAAACTGTGAGTGAGAGCAGTTCGGACGTGCTCTCCAGGACTCTGCTTCACTCTGATCCTGATGTGTAAGGTCCACTCCACTGGTTTCCTTCCCGCGGGCATCTCAGTGCCCCAGGCAGCTTGGGCCAGCCTTGCTTTCCACACCTGCCAGCCAGGGTGCAGCTCCCCCAGCTGACTCTCAGGCCACCAGCTGGTCCCACCTGTGCCCCATGTCTGCACCCCCCCAGGTCCCCATCCACAGGTCTGTGCCCCCCAGGTTTCTGTCCCCAGGTCTGTGCTCCCCAGGTCTGTGCCTCCCCAGGTCTCTATCCCCAGGTCTGTGCCCCCCAGGTCTG